TCCACTTGGCCTTTGGATATGTGAACTTGTATTTTGGTTCAAGTTGAAGTAGCCTTGCTCCAAGGCTGTCCTGAAAGAACAGTCCATGGATGTGTAGTAATTCTACCCTCCAAATAGGCAAGTCTAGATATGTGGACAGTACAAAGGACTCCAGTCTCTTATAGGAACAACTTGTTCTTATTATTTACATAATCTAGAACTTATGATTTAAAATTATCTTAGAGACTTGTGCAAGTCTAAGGTTGAAGGACAAGAGCACAATATTTATTTTTAAAATGGGGGCCAATGAACAAAATTATTGAAAGTCTCTTTCTCACCAATCGGCCTCAAATGTTCAGTGGCTATGTGGACAAAAGTTGGAGCAAGCAAATAAATCACTGAATCATAATCAAGGCTGATATCACTGAGAGTGCCAGTTAAGCAGTAATTAGTGAGAGACCCATTAGCAAGGTGGAAATATCAACATCAATGAACACAACACATTTAATGCTGAAACAGTGTGGAACTTGCATATTGCAGGCTTTGAAGGGTGAAAGACAGCTTGGTGATTACATAATTAGCCCAGAAGGGTTAAGGTGTGATATGATTATTTATGAGCTGGGGATTTATCTAGGATTGCAGACTAAATGCCCTTGATGGGCAATTTGGGGACCTTTTTTATATTTTGTTCTCAACTGGGATTTTTTATAGTTTTTATTTTCATTGTTTCCGAGGTATTTACCATGGTACTTGAATGCTGTGGTCAGTGTTGTAATGTAACATTTTTAGTCCTTACAGAATCTTCCTTATTGTCCCTGTTGTCAGTGAAACACAAGACACCTCTTCAAAGCCTACACATTAATAATAACAGTTTTAATATGAATTTGCTGCAGACATGAGGCTGATTATCGGCCCCTTAGCATAATTAGATGAATCACAGAACGATACATATCTCAGTTGTATGGGGGGGGGGCACGGGTGGCCCAGTCGTATAAGGCGTGCAGAGTTGCGTCCCTTGGGCACGCCAGAAACCTATGATTGTGGGTTCGAATCCCGGTTCGCCCCGATTATGTTTCTAGGTTTGTCAGCACCATACCCGTGCTCGTAGGTTTCACCGAAGTGGTAAACATCTGAGACCTGCATCACTTTGAACTTTACTCCCACATTGAGCTGACACGCCGCGATATAACTGGAAAACTCACTCACTCACTCAATTGTAAGGTTTTGAGGTGATACATAAAATAGATACATAAAAATTGACTCCTTTGAAGGATCTAAAAAGAAGGAATATTTAATAATTGGGATCAATCATCTTCTTGCGACAAAGGTACCAACTGACTTTATAAAAGTCCCGTTTCCAAACTGGACTTTCATAAAGTCAGTTAACACCTTTGCCGCGGGAAGAAGGGGTTCTATTATAATAAGCTCCATTTTACATCTCAACCTTTATGATATGTACATTTGTACCATTTTGTATCCACACAGTATGTCTTGATACACTGGCACAAAATATTGCGATGTACCAGGCCTTTAGTGGATCTTTACACACACCCCTACCAGAAAAGAATCTTTCACATCAGGCAAACAAGTACGGCTCGCAAGTTAATTCCGATGTCTGCACCAGTTTGTGTGGAAACTGGCCCTGGTCACTAATTCAGTCTCAAGAAATCTCAAACTCTCTAGACATGTTTGAGGACTTCTACAGTTCAATTAAAAGGTATCTTCAAGTAGGTAACAGCAAACTTTGTATGAACCAGGGACATTTTGAGCTTGTTTATTTCCGCAATTTTCACCTTTAAGAACAATTCTGTCAAGCTAGTGGCAGCAATAAGTTCAGAAGCAACATTCAACTGGCATGGAAGGGAAATAAAACCCCTAGCCACAATTATTTACAGTCAATAAGTGTTCCCTCTGCCATAAACAAATATTGTGAAAACCCAATCTCGGTTGACTTGAAAGTTTGAAATAAAGAATGAATAAATGTTTAATTTTCATTCAACAATGATTTGATTTTTTTTATCAATAATTTTTTAATTGTCACTCAACATTTCCATAGTAACTAATGAACCCAAACATGTCAAATTCAGGTACATGTATAAGTTAACAATGTCTGTTATCATTTGTTTATGGTTAAAAAAATATCTTCAATTTGATTTACAAAGACTTATTATTCACAGTGTTATTTCACTTATATGTCGTAGAAATTACAAGTGATATTCATGTGTAGGTCACTTAAATGTTTCTATTTCATTGTAAGCCAGCTTCTATGATCATTTAGTACAGTAATAAAAATTTCTCAGTTGGTTGCAATGGCTAACTGAACATATATGTACCAAGTACATGCTATATCCTGATTAGGTCATAAATACGGTGTTTCTACATACTATTCCCAGTAGCCCACAAGATAAAGTCAACATTGACTGGCGTAGGCCAACTGAGGTGGCGGAGGCGATGGTCGTGATTGGCTAATAGCCAGCTGGTATATATAAGATGTATATATGCCGGTTGGGGAGCTATACTGGGCACTGCTGGCGAGTTGCTAGATACTGTGTAGTTCATTGTGAACACTGGCTATTAGCATAGGATACAGATTTTTGTTGTTGAGAAGGAATACCTTGTGTTTCTGCCTGCTTCCTAAGCACTGGTAAGCCGGTTTCATTTACATGTTTTATGTTGTTAAGATACATTCAGTTAGTCGTGATCTCACCAAACTTACACCAGGTGGAGCTTCATTGTTTCATGTGTTCACGGAGTTGGAGTTTTTAGTCTGCTAGTCCTTATAATGATAACTTATAACAAAACGTTTAAATTGACAAGGGCTAGTGCCAGTTTCTAATGCTGCATTTATTGAAGTCATGTCTTTATGTGGGACAAAAGGATTATTTACTGTTGACTGGTGTTAAATGATATTAAATCTGTCTGACTCATAGATCTGATGCATTTGTGTTTAACAATGCAGGCAAAACATTTGTTTGAGACTTTAGATACATAGCTATTTGTACCATGTATGTATGACGTGTACATATACAGGGTTCACTCCAGGAAATTTCTGACATGGGCCCTTTATGTGAAAATTTTCAATTTTCAAGAGGATCGCACAATGTTAAAACGCCCCATTGCATTTGAAAATGAGGGCCTTTTTTCAAATTTAGGGGCTAAAAGCACAAGGCCCCACCCTAGAATTATCCCTTCATATATTGTATGAAACAAGCTGGACAGCTGGGTATTTGTTTTTATATTGTATTTTTGTGTATGCTATTTAAAGCCTGTTCATGGGACCACTAGCTTGAAAGCAGGGTTTCAGATTGGTCTGTCTTCTGGAACATCAACTGATTGTCATCCAATATGTCCTAAAGATATTTTTCAAATTTGGTAATGATATAGAAGAATGTCCTATTGCTATCTGTCTCCAGCAAAATCACTGCCGAGGACTTGTGAAAACTGATACATAGCTCATAACTAGCCCATAACATTTCACTCCCCATTTAAATACCAAAATGTATAACCTACTGTTTTGAGATACATAAGTATGTCTGTAACGTTTGCTTTGAAAAGTTGTTTTTGGGCAAGTACCTAAAATCACTGTGTATATGTACTTGTATACAAGGGGCGTGGGGTAGCCCCTAATGGACTATTATTATGGTGTTTAACACTAACACTGGTCCGCTGGTCCGAGTCTAGTATATTTCCTTAAGGACCAGGGCGGTGGGGTAGCATAGTGGTTAAAGCGTTTGCTCATCTCGCCGAAGACCTGGGTTCACATGCATAATGGATACAATGTTTGAAGCTCATTTCTGGTGTCCCCTGCTTTGATATTGCTGGAGTATTTTTTAAGAGCGGCGTAAAACCATTCTCACTCATACTCACTTGTGTCTAAAATTATCAAATCACTTTATCAGATGAAATCAAATCATTGGTTAGAAATGAAATGCTTTATCACTATTCTGACGGTATTTGCCTGAAAGGGCCTACATTATCACATTGTGGAGAATCTGGTTATGATAACACATTTCTTCCCACCCAAAGATGTTTAACTTGAACATGAAGCAGATTGCTTTTGGTGAATGGATTATGATTACCAAGAGCATCCATGAAATTTGCACTAGTCCCCTCTCAGACTGCCCAATAGTTAAGGTGTCATGAGGACCAGTAGAAATCTGTCATTTTTAAGGTTTTGCGATATGTTATCATTATAAGGACTAGTGGACTAAAATATTAGTTTCTACTGCTGTTCAAGGTGAAAAATTATGTATCTGTCTGTAGATCATTTTCAAATTCCATGACAACATTGTTGTTGTAACAAATGTTACATTTTGGATAACACTTTCTTAGTAAAGTACAGATTCTCATACTTTTCGGGGTTGAGTCCCATCCAGGATTTGAATCCCGGATGGGACTCAACCCCCAAAAGTATGAGAATCTGTACTTTACTAAGAAAGTGTTATCCCAAACATAACATTTGTTACATTTGACCATTATGTATTCATAACATTGTTGGACACATGAATATCCGGGGTAGAATAGGTCTTCAGCAATGCCAACCCATGCTTGCCATTAAAGGCGACAATGCTTGTCGTAAGAGGCGACTAACAGGATCAGGTGGTCAGGCTCGCTGACTTGGTTGAAGCATGTCATCGATCCAAATTGCGTGGATCGATGCACATGATATCAATCTCTGGATTGTCTGGTCCAGGCTCGATTATTTACAGACCGCAGTCATATAGCTGGAATATTGCTGAGTGCGGTGTAAAACAACAAACCAATAATCATAACATTGTTGATAATTAGCAGTGATTGCATCAGCTACCCTACATCACAACCGACATAGATATCCTTGAGAAACATGCAGACCCCCCCCCCAGTGATATACATGCAGGTGGAGAATGATACATGTGAATAGGTCTTTCTTATCACGATGACACAGCCTTAGGGTGAAATACACTCTATCATGGTGATACTTCCTCCTTATTCCAGCTGAATTCTCATTACTTGTATTAATTAGCCTGTGAGAGCCTGGATTAGCACAGCGCTGTGGTAATGGCCCATCGTAGTCCATTAGGAGATTAGCCTGGTGTATGTTGGTTCGTGGCTACAGATATACTCACTCGTAGGAGAGCTTTCTTCGTATGTTTAGAGGCTTACTGCTGGCAGGGTAAGTATTTCTGGTACTTGGTACTATTAGTGATATATTTGGTATCATCTGGAGTGGATATTTTAGGTCTGTTCTATTTGCAGTGTTTGTAGGCAGTGTTAGACATGACCACCAGTCCTGTAGTCCTTCCAAATTGCCCAATAGTTAAGGTATCATAAGGACTAGTAGAAATGTCTCATTTTGAAGGGTTTTGCTATATGCTGGTGGACAATAAATGTTAGTTTCTTATCTATGTCAGTCTGTGTCAAAAACTAGCCCGAACTTCGTTATTGTTAGCTTCGCTTACTGGACTGAACAGAAGTTTATTAGACTCTGGCTTTAGACTAGGAATAGGAAGTAAAATCACAGACTGAGGACTTGTTGTTTTCTCCCCAAATCTTGTTGTTTTGTGTGAACAATTCGTCTAACATGAGCTGTGGACTAGTTGGATATGATATTTTTTCCACATTGACTCACAAGGTCACTTACTTTGGAATCCTAGATAAATCCCTGGGGATACATATCTTGATGTTAGAGTTGGGTACCATGTGAAATCTGAAGTAAACTTGATATGTTAAGAAAATGACCCGTGAAGATCTGGGGAAGAATAAGGTCTTCAGCAACCCATGATTGTTGTAAGAGGCGACTTAATGGGATCGGGTGGTCAGCCTCGCTGACTTGGTTGATGTGTGTCATCGTATTTCAATTGTGTGGATCGATGCTCATATCGATCACTGGACTGTCTGGTCCAGACTCGATTATTTACAGACCGCCGTCATATAGCTTGAATAGTGCTGAGTGTGGCATTAAACAAACAAACAAATACAAAATAGAAAACATTTCATCATGGGCTACTGTTCATTTCCTTTGACGATGATCATCATGGGAGGAAATGAATCATGGTAGCCAATCTAATACATATTTAGTAGATTTGTGTCAATTAATGAGACAGTGGAAACTGTTAGTGGACATATATGAAGACACCATCAAGTTTGATTTAATCCAAATTAGTCAAAAGCATCGAGATCAAAGTCATTAGGTGACCAGAGACCCAAGGTGAGGTGAAATGGGGTTTCACGTGTGTGTCCGAACTAATGCCAGTTTTATAGTGTTAGCCCTCTGAGATACCATGCCACGGCTAAACATTTATACCCCACTCAGACACAGTATACTGATTCCGAGCCGACCAGTTCTTGTTTTGGCCCCTTAATGATGAACACCAGGCAGGGTAACAACAAGTACCATCTTTACCCTCTTTTGGTATGACGCGGCCGGGGATAGAACCCCGGACCTCCCGCTCCGGCACTAGTGATAATACCCTTAGAAACAATTCAGACTGCTGATTAGTTGATTTGAGGAAGTTGATAATATTAGCATTTTATCCAGGGATTGAAATTCCTTGTATTTAAGTGCCAATGACACAGGTAGAATGAGTTCCACAGGACTGGAGGGCACACTTAGAAATTACATTTTTGACAACCAGAGATTTGTCTTGGATTTTAATTAACCAGCTTGGCAGACAAATTGGAAAAAAAATATCTTAATAACTAGCTGAGCTTACTAGACCGATCAGAATTTTACATGACTCGGCTTCAGACTAGAGGGTAAAGTCACAGACTGATGATAGTCACAAATATTTATGGTGGATCAAAAGTACTCGTCTATTTGACACACTTTAATTCCAAAAGGCACACCTAAACATCTTTATATACCCTGTGCCACGCCTGAAAGAGAACAATGTTTCTATGCTTGCTAGTTGTTACTACAAATCCCTGCACATGAATCTTCCCACAAGTCTAAGAGTATGTTTTTGTACTGCTTGGAATGAGAATCTATTGCCAAGCTTTGGACCTCAACTGAACTGCTTGCTGAAATATGGGTTATTAAGCCTAATGTGGCTTAATCCAGGAAGTCATTCGGTCACTGAAGCCTCATGCCTTTAGGTATTGTTCTGGAAGAGAGCGAGAATCTTCATATTACAACATTAGGCTTATACTGAGGACCAATTGACTTTCATCCCTAGTGAGCACTGTTAAGTTTTAATGAGGGAAGTAAACCCAGGGATACACCTAAACCTGGAACACAAGCCTGGATAGTGATAACATATCGGAGTGTTAAGTCCAGACCAGTGTTTGAAATATACAAAGTTTCCAGGCAGCCATCAGGACCCATAGATTTAAGAAGTAGACTGACATTTAGTCTCTAAATGAACTATTTTACCAAAGAAAACAGTTGTCAACTTATAGATTCTTTATTTTCAGATACTGATACTGCAGTAATCTAGGCTTGCATGGCTGTAGTGGATGTATTTGTTTCAGGATCTGTATGGCAGACTTACTTAAGAAGCTGCAGGCCCTGACTAAACCCTTCAGGCCCTCTGTTAAAAAACTAGCTTTATGTGACAAATACATTGACACGTCAAGTTATTTCAGACCCATATAGATTTGAAGCTAAGGGCCCGCCTCAAGGTCTACCTGCCACAGGTGCATAATGCTACAGCCATCTGCATAATGCTACCCCTGCTACCCCGGCCATATGACACAGTTGAACCAATCAACTCACCTCGAAAGGGTGCATGGGAATCACGCATGCACGAATACGGTGTTAGCGTTGGGCGTCTCAACGTGCGTGATTCCTGTGCACCCTTTCGAGTTGAGTTGATTGGTTCAACTGTGTCATATGGCCCTGTGACGCAGGGGTAGCATTATGCAGATGGCTGTTTCAATGAATGCACGTTCCACCCGTGACGAACAGGTCTGGTTGTTGATGAAATATAGTGATAGCTAAATAGACAGATTTTTTATTCATGCACCGATTGTCTTTAAATGTAATATCCAGTTATGTATGACTGTTTAATAATCTCATAGCAACTTTGATTGGAGTAGGTCCGATAGTTTTTCAGATATTGTAGTAAACGTCGGTACCTTAAATTTCCTTCCAGACTATACAAACCACTATCATCAAGAAGCTGGGAACTCTACTAGCCCTTAGGATACCTTTAACATAAAACAAACTGACTCAGACAGAGAGCTAGTGCTTAGTTTTATCTCTGTAATCCCTGTAAGTATGCATCGCAGATGAATCTTGTATGGTTGAGTTTTATCACGCTTGGATTTGGGTGGAGATTGTAAAATATGCATTGTGAGTATTGTCTGAATCACAATGACCTATCATGAAACAGACAAGAATAGCTCCATGCTGTCGACACATGGGGCAGGATCACGCCTACGTCAGTGTGTACGGTGAGGTCATAAGTCAACACGAGGGGTCAGAGGTAACATCCAAGCATGACTTGGGATATCACCAGAGCCACCCTCTGCGAAGCATCTCGACTGGGGGCGGGACATCGCGACTGGGGGCACAATATGACTCATTCCAGTGGAAACACAATAAACATTAACGGATATTTAGAACAATCAAATTTGACATTTGAAGGTTCCATTGAAGAGCTGTTCGTGTTTGTTGACACTGAGCCATGGGATGCGCCGATGTATCTAACACATGTAGTTGGAATCGGCATAACAAGCATCACCCCATTTGTTTAATAAATAGGGAAGATTTGTCTTTGTTTCTTCTACAAAATAAGATGTAACTATTGCATAACAGGCTTTCATTAATATTACCAGGTAATGCAGGGATAGACTAGGCTGCTAGTCTGTTAGTTCAAGACAAGTAAAAGTCTAGAGATGCTAGTTTTGACCCACTTGTCCAAGATACGCTAAGTACGAGTTCGATAACTGATGGTGTCTACTCCTGTAATGTTTTCTGGTAGTTAGGTAGGACCAGGGGCAACAAAAAAACGAAAGGAAGGTTTGGCTGGGCACCTACATCAGAGTGAGATTTCACAACTTAATGTCACAAATAGCTCACTTTTTTTGTTCTTTGATGTATTCTTGGTATAAAAGGAGACGGAAATTTCACCTTGATTTTGGAGTGATGAGACGTGATTAATATATGTTGTAGTCTATTTGTTGAACTCCGAGCAAGTGGTGATTGTATGTCCGTATTACAATTTCAGTTCCGTATGTCTTTTGTTTTGACAACCTCGATGTTTGAACGAGTCAGGTCCTGATTAATGTATGTTGTAGTTTTTTTGGTCGAATTCCAAGCAAATGGTAATTATCTGTCTGAATCTCAAATTCAGTTTTGTATGTATTCTGTTTGATGACAAAAAGCATAAAGAGATAATTTGATTACTTGCATTTGCAAAGTTTATTGTTGTTTCATTACAGGGTTAGAAACTCAGGGGGTCATATCATCCTTGAGGAATGCTGTTATAGTATTTTTATCCTCGGTCTACCCAAGTCGGGCTCTTAAATTTCATGTTTATTTTGAACATTTGGGATGTTGCACTCTGCCTCTGTAGACTGTATTCCAGTCGTCCCTTGACAGACACACTCGAAACAACTCTGTCAATACTGCAGTTTGTTTTGCTCCAGTGACACTAATTTAATCACCTAGCAGTGAGTTAACTACCCTTTTTTTAATTCCATGTGTGAAGGTGCATAACCATCGTATCATCCCCCTGAGATATAACCTGCAACAGTTTTGTATGGAATTTTTCAGCCAGACAAAATTTGTATCAATGCTGAGCCTTTCGCACATTATATTTCTACATGTCACATTCCCTTGAGATTGAAGTGGCATCATGCTTGTTTGAAATTTTTCAGCCAAACAAAATATGTATCTATTCTGAACATTCTAATATTGCACTTCATGTTTTGTTTGTTTCCACGACAACAAATATGAACTACTTTGTGGAAGCAGGCTAATATAAGACAACTTGGGAACAATATTACTCCAAAATAGTTCCATGTGTACGATGCATGGTGACATTTCAAGCGTGTGTTGACAATCTAGCTCATTCAAATCATGGGCACGTTTTTTTAGTGGACAGAGGTCAAGGAGCTGGTTGTCAGGCCCATTGTGCCAGGGTTGAATGTTTGCTGGGGCAGTGCTCAACTCCAGTTTTGGAGTATGATTGCTCAACTTGGCTTTGTGCTGAAGTCTCCTGTTATAGGCAGAGAAATACAGGGTTCACTCTAGGAATTTTCTGACATGGGTCCTTTATATGAAAATTTCAAATATTCCAAAGGTATACTCACTTGCCCATACAGCACAATGTTAAGATGTCCCATTGTATTTGAAAATGTGGGCCTTTTATTCAAATTTAGGGGCTAAAAGCAAAGGCCCCAACCTAGAATTATCCCTGGAAATACCATGTGCCGACTTGTCATGGTAGACTGTTTGACAAGTACATTATTCCATTTTAATTGTCTGTGGACCTGAGTTACAAATTCTTTTGAAACCAAATTGGAGTTTTAATGCACACTAGTATTCAGTGTTCAAGATTAAGTATTAATGGTCACTGTGTCTCATGTGTTGGAAATGAAACATGATTTCATCCTCGTGTTAAAAATTCATAAAAACATGAAGTGAATGGTCCTAGTCATTGCCTAAATGTTTAACGTTAAATACTTAGGTTCAACATGTTCAAATACAATCGGAGAAGCCCTCAAGATTCACAGGCCCCAAGTTTTCGAAAACTGGGTCCGTTTTCATAACGCTAATGTCAAAAAATAATGATAAGTAAGGCAGAGTTAGAACTCAAGGCTAGTATCATTTCCTGTGGACTAGTACAAATTTCCCAATTTCTGCATTGTTTTTACATTACAAGAGCATTTTTCTTGATTGGGAAAATTATCCAACCTAACTGTTTGTTTGTTTATGTGTTGTTTAACGCCGCACTCAGCAATATTCCAGCTATATAACGGCAGTCTGTAAATAAGCGAGTCTGAACCAGACAATCCAGTGATTGACATCATGAGCAATTGGGATATGATGACATGCATCAACCAAGTCAGCAGGCCTGACCCGATGCCATTAGTCGCCTCTTACGACAAGCATACATTCTAAGATCAGTTGTTAAAATGTCTATTTGATACAGGAAATGAGTTTTGATATTGCTCCGTTGTCATACAGCCAGTCTGGCCTCCACCTGTTCCATGTGCAGCAGGATATATAAACTCATTACACATCTTAACCTCTTCACCTGAACATGGGATCGTTTACAGTGGCTGGTGTAGACAGATGGTGTGTACATGTTGAACTGTATACTGAGTATAACGTAAACTTGCCAGGATGCTTTGATGGGAATCTTGCTGCAAGGCTTTATTCACAGCACAGAGTGAGCAGCGGTAGAAACTAACAGTTTCAGTCCACTAGTCCTTATAATGATAACATATAGCAAAACCCCCTAAAAATGGCAAATTTCTACTAGTCCTTATGATACTTTTACTATTGGGCAGTTTGGCAAGGACTACAGGACTAGTGCCAATTTCTAACCCTGGTGAGCGAGTTGGGTTAGCTAGGCATTGAACAGTATTCCAGTTATATCATAGCATGTCACCAGGATGTGGGAGGAAAGCCTGAAGTAATGCAGGTCTCTGATGTTTACCACTTTGGTGAAATCCATGAGCATGGGTATTGTGCTGACAAACCTAGAAATATAATCAGGATGGACCAGGATTCAAACTCAGGATCACAGGTCTCTGGCATGTCCAAGGGACGCAACTCTGCACAGTGAATTGCAGAGCCTCAGATGACTGAGATACCTGTTCCTCTCACACCCTCGGATAGTAACATACTGTAGATAATCTTTTTGTGCTTGACTACACTGCTTGTGTTCTGTGGCATAGAATGATGAATTATGTATGATGCAGTTTGTGCCAAAACCTTTTGACACTACCAGCCCGAACGTGGCCTTCTACATCATTTTCAGTAGAAGTTAGTGTTATCATTCAGCGATAGAAACTAACATTTTTTGTCCACAAGTCCTTCTAATGATAACATATAGCAAAACCCTTCAAAATGGCAAATTTCTTCTAGTCCTGATACCTGAACTATTGGGCACTTTAGGACTACTGCCAATTTCTATGGGTGTCATTTATGTGGGACCCATGAAGATCTGGGTAGAATAGGTCTTCAGCTTGTCGACTATGCTTGTTGTAAGAGGCGACTAACGGGATCGGGTAAGGAGGCTTGCTGACTTGCATGTCATTGTATCCCAAATGCATGGATCGATGCTCATAGTGTCAATCACCGGATTGTCTTGTCCAGATTCGATAATTTACAGACCGCCATCTTATAGCTGGAATATTGCTGAGTGCGGCGTTAAACAAGAAACAAACAAACATTTATGTGGACTATAGCGGAGTCAGTTGACAAGACCCAACAGAACGCTACAAGAGTGATGATGCATGCTGGGGCCTTGAACATCCCAAAGCTGATTACCCCAAACGTGCCCTTTAGATTGTATTTAGTGACAGTCAGCTGATAGTGTACAGTAATGCTTGGAGTAATGTGATGATAGGTAGAAGCATGCCAGTGGATAATGGAGGGATTCCAGCAGGCTTAGCAGTCCACTGTAGGGACGAGAGTAGACTATGTCCCGAGGACACATCAGCTCTAAGCTGCTGTGAGTCGGACCCTACCAGGAAGTACATAGTGGTTGCATCGGCTTGACAGGGAAATATTTGGAAGATTTGTTCACATTGTGAAATTTGCTACGGACATGTTGCTCTCATAAGTATGTCTTGTGGAAGATAGTCTTCCGTGTTATTTTTTTACTTCTTCTTTATACGCTATTGTGTTAATCATGGTTTAACGATGTGAAAACTTTTTTAGTCATTGCATGCTTGGAAGATGACTCTCGAGATGGGATGGAAATATGACCTTAACTTTCGGTTAAGGTCAGATGCGTTTCAGGAGGGCTGGCAATCGAGAAATTATGTGTGCGCGTGCTGTTGAACATGGCTGACTGCACGATCACATGCGCTTGCTCGCGGTGAAGTCTGGGAGGTCGTTCGCCTAGTAATCCAAGATGGCGTTGCACTTTATACAAATGTTTTTTCTTTGACCGGAATGGAAAGAATGATCTAGATCAGACCTTCCAAAAGTTTCATTGCAATCTCAATATATTGACCCGGGTAGAGAGCAGGTCTTCAGCAACCCATGTTTTACGAAACGTAACAAGGCAACTTTTCTTGTCATAAAAGGTGCAGAGCTCCAGATAACTTTTTGAACAATTGAGTTTTTACTCAAATTGTTCTATTTTAATTGGGTTATGACATTTTTTCATTGGGTAACCAATATTTTTTCACTCATCTAGTCATCACACTATTGGGTTTTTCCCAAAATAAGTTAACATTTTGAGATTTAAAAAAAATAAATAATTGGTTTCGGAAACCGAAAAAGCTTCATTGGGTACATGTATTTACACATGCTGTTTTTATACACTTCAATTTTTCATTTAATGCGTTTCTGTATGCAAGTTAATTGAAAGTAATGGGGTTTGGATCATATTTGGGGGGTATTTTCCGCAAATACACATCTTATCTGTTGCTCTGATGGCGACTAACGGGATTGGGTGGTTGGTTGATGCATGTCATTGTATCCCAATTGTGTAGATCGATGCTCATGATGTCAATCACTGGATTGTCTGGTCCAGACTCGATTATTTACAGACCGCCGTCATCTAGCTTGAATATTGCTGAGTCGTGCATTAAAACAACAAACAAACAAACAAATATTTTCAATATTAACAATAAACACTTTGTTATCATGAAACATCAATCTATGAACTCTTCATACTTGTGATGAAATTAAATGTCTGGATAGGGTTGTTTTGATCCCCGGTGACACCACTTTTGATGCTGTGTCTTGAGAGCAAGTCTGGCCTTTTGTTCAGGAAGGAATTGTCTCGTGATCACAGCCCTCCTGAACACGCCTGTTACACATTCAGTCCGCAAGTTTAGCCACTGGTTTGACGCACGAGTTTGGTAAAATTGTGATTGGTCTTGTAAGCAAAGCGAATAAAAATAGTCGATTCCCTAACACTAGAATCTACTGAAGTTTAGACTAGTAGACATAAATGATTTGGCTCAGACTGCACATTGGAGACAACCATGTAAATAAATTACTGCGATATGCTAATAATAGAGCCGAACCACGATCTCACTCACTCCTACAAGGAAATTAGCATTGACTTTTAGATCATGATAGTTACACAGTCCTGCTTTTTGTTATGCAATGCCAGATGTTATATTTATAGAATGTGTTTTTTTTTCAGTTATTGAGAGTGACAAAGCAAAAGCGATTACAAGGAGGTAGAGAAAAACAAGATGAGTGCGAAGAAAGTGTCCCTGCCGTCCAATCATGTGGAACTCTATGTCAAGTCAGGCTGGGATGGACAGAGCTACGGCGCCTGTCCCTTTTGCCAACGTTTCTACATGATCCTTGACCTTAAAGCTCAAGAAGGGACCTTGACCTACAAGGTCATCACGGTAAACCCAGCACGACCCACTGCTGATGTTAAGAGCTATGCTCACAAGCTCCCTGTCCTCAAACATGGAGATGAGGTGATTATGGATTCGGACGAAATGGTGCAGTACATCGACGACAACTTCCCCTATCCAGATTTACGGTACTCCAACAGAAAGGCCCATACCGTCTGCTTGGATGTATTCTCCAAGTTTAACTTCTTTATCAAGAATGTCAGCCACACATCGGAACCTTTGCTGAAGGAGCTTCACCAAATCGACAGTTTCATGAAGTCTGCTGGAACTAAATTTTTGTGTAGCGATGAACTTACTCATTTGGATTGTCTTATGCTACCAAAACTCCACCACGCACGAGTTGCATCCCAAGCCTTCAAAGATTTCGAAATCCCATCGAATATGACAGGATTGTTGCATTTGCTGAGGAATGCCTACTCCAACGAAACGTTCCGCAAGACGTGCCCCTCCGATCAGGAAATTGTACACCATTGGAGTACCAAAAGGGAGACAACTCCTCTTCCTAAGTCCAAGCAGCGATTCTACATGTTAGAAGGATCCCCCGTGTACTCTATGGATTTAGGCCAGGCCAATGGGCAAGTGTTTTAGATACATTTACACTGCTAACACACTGGATGCCATGACTTGCCTGGGCCTCTGCTCCAGACCTCTGTGCCTGCTGGCCAGATTCCTGCATGTGACACAGCTTGACTGTTACTATGGTTACTAAGTATTATACTCCCAGCATGCAGTGGGTTTCCTGTCTTGTGATTTGAAGTTTTAAGACTCTTAGTCATAACCTTTGACCTCACTTGAAGTCATAATATCAGTTATGTTGTAATTTTTGTGAATTTTTATAACAAGCTCATTTTTCATAGAATCAAAATTGACCGTACCATTACCCATCCTTGCTTTGTGTTCGTCTTCGCATGTGTAGAAGATAGTTGTGTAGTAGTAGTCGGTCCTAGATAGATCTTTGACAGAGACAGATTGAATTCCTTACTTCATTTTCTTTTGCCTGTACTGTGAAGTTTAAGAGGGTAGGAATACCAGCATGGCTATCATCGGAGTATCAGCTTCTTGTATTGATAGTCCCAGCCAAGTTTCATATGTCATGTCACTTAGGGTTAGAAGTAATTCTTTTTTGTTCAATTGTCTGCAAAAATGATCTGCTACAGAGTTGCCATCTACCAAATGGTGAAAGGTGGTAGTCCACAAGGAAATGTCACTAGTCCTGCTACAGAGGTGCCATCTACCTAATGGTAAAGTGGTAGTCCACAAAGAAATGTCACTAGTCCTGCTACAGAGTTGCCATCTACCTAATGGTGAAAGTGGTAGTCCACAAGGAAATGTCACTAGTCCTGCTACAGAGTTGCCATCTACCAAATGGTGAAAGGTGGTAGTCCACAAGGAAATGTCACTAGTCCTGCTACAGAGGTGCCATCTACCTAATGGTAAAGTGGTAGTCCACAAAGAAATGTCACTAGTCCTGCTACAGAGTTGCCATCTACCTAATGGTGAAAGGTGGTAGTCCACAAGGAAATGTCACTAGTCCTGCTACAGAGGTGCCATCTACCTAATGGTGAAAGGTGGTAGTCCACAAGGAAATGTCACTAGTCCTGCTACAGAGGTGCCATCTACCTTATGGTAAAGTGGTAGTCCACAAGGAAATGTCACTAGTCCTGCTACAGAGGTGCCATCTACCTAATGGTGAAAGGTGGTAGTCCACAAGGAAATGTCACTAGTCCTCCCTGAATTGTACTAGTCTCAGGCTACCTGATTTATGTTAATTTTCAAACTCTGCTTACTGACATAAATAATACCTATACACATAAATAATACCTATACACAAGTATGTTATGTGATATGAAAAGATTAATATACACCTTTCTGAGAGTATAACATTCGTTTGTTAATGGGTTCTCAAAAAAGCTGTATTGACCTGGATTTTGTATGCAATATATTGCCATGCTTTAACCTGTATTGTGATTCACATTGCAATGTATTGGTAATTTACATTTTCATGAGTTAATCAGTTATACCAGTGTAGATGTCAGATACCATTAGTCAGTGTCCCTCACTATATTTTCTTTTGAGTGACTAAATGTACGATAAAGAGATTAAAGAATAAAAACAAAACAAGAAATATTTGGTACAATGCTGAAATCATCTGCCATTTTGTATCCCAGCAACGATCAAGGGAGATAATACGGTCACATGGTAGCGCCAGCTGTGACACCTTCGCTATACTCTTGGTGTAGAGAGCTCTGCGAATGTGCTATCGCTGTGAGGAACTTGATAGTCGCGATGTGTACACGCTAATTGATATAATGATCATCAGAGGCAAGTTGTATCAGAAAAATACTATTTTCCATCTCCATATCGATTAGGAACACATAAATATACTTATTTATGTTTGCCCCAATATATTGCTACTTTTACAGACATATGGCAATGCGTATTGCTGAAGATTTGCACCACAATGTACCGGTGTACCAGTAATACGGCACACCCTTAGTTCTCAAGTCATTGTTGAAGGTTGACTTCTCATGTTTAGTATTGTGGCCAAGATACATAATACGCTGTTCCCATTAAGCCTGACAGTGAAGAGATTCTTGTCGTAATTCTTACGTAGCAGCGATAGAAAGTGGCACTAGTCCTGTAGTCCTTGCCAAACTGCCAATAGTTAAGGTGACATAAGGACTCTTAGAAATTTGCCATTTTTAAAGGTTTTGCTACATGTTATCATTATGGTGAGTTTCTATCACTGTGTTAAAGTTAAAGATGTAAGGGGTCTCTAGATTCAAATACCATAGCAGAGGATCTGAAGGACCACAAGACCCCTGCTTAGTTTGAACACTGTGTGTGGTAGCTTTGTTGTCATGTTGTATTTCATTGTCATGATTGTCTTTTCTGACGGGGCCAGATAGAAGTGAGGTTGTGGTTCCAGTTGATCTTGGTTTCAGTAAGGGTATAAGTCTGCTTTTTCCTTTCTTTTGAAAATAATCCCCTGAACTTGTTGGGGAAGTAGTGTAAACCTAAGTAAGCTTAGGTTGGTGTATTTTCACGTGTGATGGTTTTCTATCACAACAGCAGTGTCGCCAGAGACCACATAATAGATGTTATATGGTCTCTGGTAGCGCTAATATAATGTTTGTGTTTATCGTGTCATTGGAACCACATCATTCCTCTAGGCTTGTTTGACACTTAGACCTAGCTCTCTGTTTCTGGACCTCTTTCTACATTATCTGCAATGACCACTGAGGCATGTTAGATGTTGGAATTGCTGTACTTAAATACATGTTTGTAGTTAGATTGTTACCAGATTTTGCATAGTTTTGATCAAATTCTACATAGATATGTAGACAGTAAACTGTTGCAGTTGTAGGGAAATGTTTGCTGTTTTCTTAAAGAACATGCAGATTTTTCATATTTGTCTTTTTATTTTGTAAATAATGTAAGTTTCAGCAATGAGATTACAATGTTTGTGTTTGTTGCATTTTTCAGGAATGGTTGTACAGTTCTGTAGTTGTCCCATCCAGTCACACATTGTTAGATCCAGTCACACATTGTCAAACCAAGTCACAGATTGTCCCATCCTGTTCCTTGTGTTATGGTGCGTGTGGAACTTATGGCACTGTCGCAAGTTTGACTTATCCTTGACGCTGTCGATAGTCCATCCACCCAGAGAGCTCTAAGAGTCTTTGAGCATCTTTTTAGATTATTGAATCTTTTTAAATAAATATATATATACGACAAGGGCAGGGAAATCAAAACAACTGTCATAAGCATCATGATTTGTCTTGATGAAAGGAAATCAGTAGTTTGGAAAGACCATATCTAGATCTCATTTTACATGCTCTTGATAACAGTATGAATTTTAAAAAGGAGACTTTTCTGGCCTGAACATTCTACTTAGCCCTTAATGATTATCTTGATTATGAGAAACAGAAGTTTTTCTCACTTTCTTTTTAACAAGCCAACGACTTAAATATATTAATATCCATTGTCAAAGATCAGCTAAAGATAATTGCACTTGTTATAACTTATGTCCAGATGACGATGGGCAGAGTTCCAATTTTGATTAAATATGTTTGTATGAATTTAGTCGTCAAGTGCCAAAGTTGCCGATGTTGGCGCCATTGTTTGTTTGTTTATCCAATGTATGTAGTGTTGTTGTATGTAGAGCTAGACAAGCAGTGTTATCCAATGTATGTAGTGTTGTATGTAGAGCTAGACAAGCAGTATTATCTGAGTACAGTACTAGTGTAGTACCTACCGTTTTCTATGTCAGCTTCTCCTGTGTTATGATATGCAGTGCTTCAGAACATGCTGACACTTTGTCTTTGTTTCTTAACGACGCAGAAAGGGGTACCGTATTTGACGTAATAAGTTCCAGGGGGCTCTCAAAACTAGAAATAGGGGGTTGCTGATTGATTTCGATCAATGTCAACCTTAGGCTGCGGTGAATTAATAGTTAGATTTTCATCCACATATTTCAACATTGTGATTAAGGAAGCTTTTTATTTTTATGATGTGTTTTCAATGACAAACTATTTATGTGGACACTAACTGTAAAAGATTTTTTTCAGCATGAACGTTTAGTTGGACAATTTGTATGGTGTATGTTACAGGTAACACGTTGTGACTCATCATCTGTAGAGATGTGGGGACCTTAAATGATGCTAAGTGCTGGGATGAAAATCTAATAATTCACTTTTTGAGGGTGTATATTCAGATTTATACCCCTGTGTGTCCAGTGACGCTGGAGGTGTGTAGTGAAGAGCCTCTGTTGGTCCTGCTCCTCTCCTTAATGTTCTGTGTGTCTCACGTGAGGTTATGTTCTGTGTGTCTTCATCATCCAAGCATGGTGGACAGCTTTGTTTTGACTATCACTTGATGTACAAGAAGTCCAGTAAAGTTTAAGCCGTCCATGATTTTGACTTTACCCAAAATCCTTTGTGCCTTTCCCTCGTTGCCTGTAGTCCCAACTCACCGGCATTACTGATGGTTGTCATAAAGACAGTCTTGGTATTTCACTGAAATGTTAAGAAATATGAAATCCCTGTGTAAATAAATGAATGCTGTTATTATGATTGATTTATTTGGGATGGCTTGTTGAAAGTATTGGATCCAATTTTACCTGCTTGTCATGTGAAAAAAGAAATGTTTAATTTTCGCAGCTGACTTATTTATAATTAAGAGCTAAATAGATTGATTGGAATACTTCTGGGCCTAGTAATGTTATGTTTCAAATATTTTGGCTTGAAACTCACATCCCCCATCAATGATTGTTGTTTTTACGGCTTGGGTTTCTCGGGGTCAAAGCCCTCGACCTAAGTCTGTGGGAGATGCCCACCTGTGACATTCATCTTCTTGAAGACACACCTGGGACAATGTGCAGCTCTGTTTACGATACATTTCATTGTAAAATGTCAATGACAAAATCAGTTCCAATATTTATTTTCTGAGAAAACATGTTTCTTTTGGTTTACAAAGTGACAGTAAGAGGATCAATGGTCAAGCTCGCTGACTTGGTTGATGCATGTCATCGTATCTCAATTGCATGAATCGATGCTCATGATGTCAATCACTGGATTGTCTGGTTTAGACAGACCTCCGTCATATAGCTGGAATATTGCTGTGTGCAGCGTTAAACAACAAACAAACAAATACAAAGTGACATACTCATTGACGTACGGATGCAGAAACTAATTGTCTGAAGTCTTCTGTCACTGTTACCATGGCAAAAGGTATTTGATTACCAAATTTCCAGCAGGTATCAGTAGTGTAATAGGCATTTATCAAAGTGAAATCCATATCAAGTGTAGATGTTTCCAAAACATACAAGTGTGGTATGGTTTAACTGAAAATAAAAAAGGTGTGATGCTGAACCTTTTTACAGGTGTGTATTTAGGAACATTATTATAACACTAGTCCCAGTTACTAACGCTGCAATCTATACTCACTATTACAGGTAACTATTCCTTTAGTCAATCGAGAAAAGCTTTGAGAACAAGCATAAAATACTCTCAACTATAGCCCTGAAAACATAGCTGTTGTAGACATTGTCTGCAGTGGATTGTGGAATATTTACTCAGGCAAATTATTTTGCTTCTGTTTCTAATATTAGCTGTTATTTCTTGGCTTTTTTTATGACAAGGCAGAATTGTTTTTTTCTTTTAAATTGAACGGTTTGGTAAAATACTCAGATTATTTGATATTTATCTTTCTGAAGATGGCATGCTTTAGATAGGGAAGTTTGTGCTTGCTGACAACAAACTCATTTTTTGTAGAATTTCATTGCTTAATCTGTACCAAAATGTATGTGACCTGATATGTACATGTATTAAATCTCGAAATTGCTTTCATAGTTGTTTAAGTTCAATAGAAAATAGAAAGTGAAAGTAGTTGTCAAGTAGTTGTTAAGGAAATAGGATCACTGTTTGTAGTCAGAGTGACCTGAACTGGGTGTCATCACGTCAGTAGTGAATTGGTTATAATGTAATGTCGCATCAGCAATATCTCCGCCATATTGCAGTCTGACTCCAGGATAATCATGTCTCCCCACCAAAGTAGCAATGATATTGACTGACGAACAATGTACAGCTTGACATTGCTCTAGCCCCTAGGATGCCTGTATAAACATTAGACAAACTGTCCCCGACTAACACAGCGTGTATTTCCAGCGATAATTAGTACCATTGAGTTTAGCCCTTGACTTGACCAACTGTAGGTGTGATTGACGGAGAGCTACTTCTACACCTTGGTTATGTGGGGGGGTGGCCCAGTCATTTAAGGCGCCATGATTTGCTGTTCAGAGTTGCGTCCCTTGGGCACGCCTGAAATCTATGATTGCGGGTTCAAATCCCTGTTCGCCCCGATTATGTTTCTAGGTGTGTCAGCTTCATACCTGTGCTCGTGGGTTTCACCAAAGTGGTTAACGTCTGAGACCTGCATCACTTCGGGCTTTCCTCCCACATTAAACTGACACACCGTGATATAACTGGAATACTGTTAAAAGCGATGATAAACTCAACACTCACTCACTCAGAATGTGGACAGAGAGTATTTTCCTAACAAACACTTACATGTCACATGAGAAGCTGTTTGTTTTACTGGCTAGCAACTTGAACCACTCTCAAGAAGGGGTTATCTCCCTTTGTTGTCATGATAAGTTTTATATCCCTTTAATATGTCAAATTTGAGTGATTTAAAGCATAGACCATATACAAAGGGTAGTGTGGTAGAAGGGACTGTGTCAAAAGTTTGCAGGTTATTTTCAGATGTGGTTATCTAAGGCTTCCTACCATCCAGCTCAAATGATATGTAATGAATGTCATAAACAATGGCAAGTTTAGATTTTGAAAGAGTTTAAGCATCTAAACTACATGATAACTAAGATCCAGCTGATTGAGGTATTGAATGTATATTCATTCCACAAGGACGGAGTATCTAAAGCTAGACATCGGCACTTAAAGTTTGTCTTTGTGCATGTGAATGATGGTAGAACATTACTATCCAAAACAAAAAATTGTTTTCTGGAGTGCAAACTTTTGATACAACCCCTAGGCATGCAGGTCAGGGCGGATGTCTGACTTTGGATATTCCGTGCTCTGTGAGGGTTAACTAAGGTAGAAACACCTGTAGGTGTAAGGTATCGTGTTAATGTCTCTGTTGTGTAGGACGCTAGTTATCGTAGAACATTAGGTGGATATGAGTTGTTAACATAGACAAGTGAAATTTTTGTTTTGTTTGATGATGAGATCTGATCAGTTATTTATTTATGTACCTCGTCTTTTATATGATATATATATGTATATTTATACATGTAGTAGGCGTGTATGGCTGAAAAGGTGTTGGTCACAGATCTTATGATTTAAGCAAGAAACAAAACATTGGTTCAGGGCTATTTTTGTGTTGTGTTTGAAAAAGTGTACTTTCAGTTTTACATGTTATATCCTGTCTAAGAACCTTTTTAAAAAAACAGTTTGCATTTTTTAAATGTTTCACTTATTCTAACTGATAATAATTTAATAGTTTCAAAATGATTTATGGTTGATAACTATATCACATGTTTTACAGATCATTATTTGGATTTTACAATTTTATTCTTTTTTATTGAGAAATAATCTATATCCTTGAGTTTTCATGATCTTTGACATATTGACAATAGATTTAGAAAAGTGTTTTTTTTTCTTCTTCTTTTAAACATTTAATTTTTATCATTTTGTTGTGACAATTTTTACAATTTTTTCATTATTCATCTTTGTATGATATTTTACTCTTTGCTGTGTGTGTTATAACAACTAGCCAGATTTATGTGTTTAATACTGCTAAAAGCTTTTGTGTCCTAGTCAGGCTGGATCAGTGATATAGCTCAGCTGTATACAGTTCTATGTACCCCAACAGGAAGCGGAGCATGCCATAATCAGGTTATATTGAAGGGTTTCTACTGCTGCCAAATATTATAGACGTCCAAGAGGAAGTATGTCCTTGTCTTGAATGTTGCAGGCATGTAAGCACCAGATAGTCTTGCATACAGACAGATAAGAGAATGTCATACCCGTTCCTCCAAGCGATCTTAGCACTACGACCATCGTAAGTTAATGTTAAGTATGGGAGTTACAATTATCTTTGTAAGAACGGGGAACGGGGCCCTGCATTGGACTCACTTAGATCGCTTGTAAGAATGATAAATATTAGACAGATCTTATAGATACTTTCAATCATGTTATACACAAAATAACGACGTTTTATGAGTGAGTTTAAGTGATTTGTTATCGAGTGACCTTGTGGCTTGATATCTGTGCTGATGTTGTCTAATAGTCTATATACGTAACATAAATAAATAGCTTCATTAAGATGCTAAGGGGCATTTGTTTATGACAACATTTGTTTATAAGTGTGCTAATTGTGTCAGATGCGCGGATATGAACTATTCTGGTCCTAGTTAATGATGCATTTTGTCATGCCATATAGTGGGGCGTTATGAAGATTTATACCCCATGCAAGTTGCTTTCTAAGTCCCATTGGATAGATGGTAGCTATTAGGTCTACTTTTACCACCGTCCGGATACGTACTAGAGGGCTCTTCAAATGAAGATTTATGTCCTATTGAATATTGTACAAATTGCGCAAAAATTGCGGTTGTGCCATTTAGTCAAAACCGTCTAAGTTTTGTTTGGTGAGAATAGATTGAAGAAATGAGTTATGCAGCTTTAAAGAGCTCTATGTTCTTATGAGAAGTAGGTGCTTTAACAGAATCCTGTTGTCAAAACTGTTTATTGTTGTTTGTAAATAGGTTGTTTGATGAAACAATTTGTTATCTTAAATTGTGTATTAGTATTGATATTTGAACAGGTTGGATTTGTTAATTGTATGTAGTTTGAAGGTTTATTAAATTTGAATTTTAATTGTGCCAAATGATTTGAAGAGTTTAATGAAAGCAATATCAGGTTTGTAATACTGATATTTTTTCTTGCTAGTTTTACTTTATATTTCACGATAACTTTTCTATAGATAAATCATATTCACAAACTATAAATATACTTTTCAGACTTTTATATTTCATTAGGAGAAATGTTTGTGCCTTATCTTGAGAAATATTTATAAAGACAGTGTCTTTAACATTAAATAAGATGTTGCCATAGCAACATGGTTACATTACGATCCTGAAGTGATGACTTTTTATTGAAATCTCTATGAGTAATTGGAATCATTATCTGACATCCATCCAGTCCTTAAGCTATCATGATCCACTTTATTGGCCAGATAGTATACTTGTGAATCTCAATTTTATCTTGATCATGTTGTTATTCTTATGTACAGACCAAGTTCTTGTTTTACAGATGACGCTGCACAAAATATTGCATAGGTAATAAAACATTACTAATGCCCTGATCTGATATGTCCAACCACAACCTGTTCTTAGTCTTTTTACTCTCTTCTCATGACAGCTTTATGGGAGGGGAAAATGAACAAAAAAATTGAATGTTTTTTTTTTTCATGTAACCTCAAGTCATATGTGACATTCTGTTTTTAAATATTTAAAATCCACGAACCAGAAATAGTCATGGTCTGTCCTATTTGAAGATATTATGTCCTTGAAGCTGACTTGATCTTTCGTCCATTATTATATATACTCACTTACACCATATAGCCAATGGCTCTTTCGTACAGCTGTAGTGGTTTACTATAGGCATGTTTTAGGATAACTATTATTATATGAAATGTGTATTTTGTACACATTGTTATCTTTCGTTTTAATAAAAGTATTATAGTCTTCAGCTGTGTTTTGTTGTATGGTTTGTCCATGGATTTGTTTGTTTGTTTGTTTGTTGTTTAACACCGCACTCAGCAATATTCCAGCTATATGACGGTGGTATGTAAATAATCGGTTCCGGACCAGACAATCCAGTGATTGACATCATGTGCATCGATCTACACAATTGGGATACAATGACATGCACCAACTTCATGAGCGAGACTACCTGATCCCATTCGTCGCCACTTACGTTTTATTAAGACTTTAATTGTTATTTACCAGTAGAGACATGGAACTTTATGTGGACAACTTCTTCATTATTGTTAGGTGGTTTCAGGTGTACTTTACTGCAGGTGAATATGGAGGAAGCCTGTGTGTGACATAGACTACTCAACATTTAATACGATGGGGGGGGGGGGGGACTTTACAGATGTTTAGTAAAAGATGAGCAGGGATTCCATTGAACAAGTCATCAATTTGTTGTCACCCAAATAGAGGAAGATACAAATATAATCTCTTCTTGTTATCAGCCTGTTGACTCAGAATCATGTGCAACAGTAATGATATTAACATGTTTGCGAGCGATCCATGTATCTGTATATTGATGAATTGTGGTCGATCGAACTTGTGCACAAAATGAGGCAAAACATTTTGTGAATAACTATGGGAATACCAGACAAGTGTACACACTGTTTTTATACGAATGTACACACTGTTGTTGTACGAGTGTACGTGCTGTTGTTATACTAGTGTACACACTGTTGTTATACTAGTGTACACACTGTTTTTATACGAATGTACACACTGTTGCTGTACGAGTGTACACACTGTTGTTGTACGAGTGTACACACTGTTGTTATACTAGTGTACACACTGTTGTTGTACGAGTGTACACACTGTTGTTGTACGAGTGTACACACTGTTGTACGAATGTACACACTGTTATACGAGTGTACACACTGTTGTACGAGTGTACACACTGTTGTTATAAAAATGTACACACTGTTGTACGAATGTACACGTTGCACGAGTGTACACACTGTTGTTGCACGAGTGTACACACTGTTGTTGTACGAGTGTACACACTGTTGTACAAATGTACACACTGTTATACGAGTGTACACACTGTTGTACGAGTGTACACACTGTTGTTATACGAATGTACACACTGTTGTACGAATGTACACACTGTTGTTGCACGAGTGTACACACTGTTGTTCGAGTGTACACACTGTTGTTGTACGAGTACACACTGTTGTACGAGTGTACACACTGTTGTATGAGTGTACACACAGTTGTACGAGTGTACACACTGTTGTTGCACGAGTGTACACACTGTTGTTCGAGTACACACTGTTGTACGAGTGTACACACTGTTGTTACACAAGTGTACACACTGTTGTATGAGTGTACACACAGTTGTTGTACGAGTGTACACACTGTTGTTGTACGAGTGTATACACTGTTGTACAAGTGTACACACTGTTGTTTTACAAGTGTACACACTGTTGTTGTATGAGTGTACACACTGTTGTTATACAAGTGTACACACTGTTGTTGTACAAGTGTACACACTGTTGTTATATAAGTGTACACACTGTTGCACGAGTGAACACACTTTTGTTATACAAGTGTA